CAATCATGACAATGTACAATTGGATTGATGATAGGAATATATATTCATACCTAAACCAGAATAAATCTGGACAATGCCCACAGATGGTGGGACTCAAACTCTATAATAAATTTGGAATTGAACCCATAGTATTTAAACATGGTAGGACTTGAACCTAGGATGTCAAGGTTTCCAGATACTCAACCCTCCCATTAAGCCAATGCCTCACTGGCAGATAAATAAATATTACTACAATGCCTAATAAGGTGACAATATCAAAAAAGAAAAAGAAAATAAATTACCTAGTTGAATCCATAGATTTAGCAAGGTTAATACACCTCGGTATTTTTCTCCCCTTGTTGAATTCCCATCCTACAGCATTGGGCACACATTGTCGTTCTCTCCATCCTAAAGAGATGTTGTAGGTCAAGAAAGATAGTGTAGAATGAATTCATAATATTAGAACAGCTAAAAGTTGATCCTAAAAATAAGTTGTTACCCAAAATTGTGCCACTCTACCTGGTTGAACTGAAACCAAGGCTTCACCAACAAGTGACAAATTCAAATCAGCAAAACCCCGATTCTCTCTATAGCACAAAAAGCGAACAGTTTTCAGATTCCATCTGGAAGAAATAAGTGCAAGGAAGTTGCGGAGAGGCCAGCCAGGATTGTTCAGTAGATGACATGGGTCATAAAATGCAAATAGTAACTGCCAATAACACATGTGAAAGCTTTGAGAAAGAGATGTCCAAGATTTTTCACTTTTAGCCTATTGACATCATACATCATATAAACAAATACATATCCCAAAAACTCATGAAGAGCAAGGTAGACAGACCTTTTGAACATCATGCTGACAAGCTTCCAAATCCTTAAGATGCCTGGCAGCAGCACTTGAATCAGAACCAATACTAACAAAAAAGAATGGAACATCTGCAGTAGAGTCATAAATCAGGCTGGGAAGGGCATAAAATTATGGATAAAGAAAAAAAAGGAACATAATCACATTTGAATTTCAATGCAGTAAGATAAAAAGAAGTAGAGAACTTGCAACAGAAGAAAGGCTACCAGCTGTTGCACTTGAATTCCGCCATCCATTACATGCTGCTGACACGGATTCTGCCTGCATGTAAAAAGGTAACAAATAGAATCCTTTGAGCATTCAAAAAGATGCGATAATCCAACAATTTGCAAATGTTAACCACATTCTAAGAACCTCTTCCAAGGTGAACCACTGAGAAGCTGGCCTCAAATCAACCAAGGTAGCAGGAGGATCAAATGCGAGAGCAGGGAAAGCAAACCAATAATGAAAGTTCCATTTTTTCAGGTCTGCAAATGAGATAAGAAGGAACCTTGACAATGCCGCACAATCCTCCACAGCTTTCCCACTATGAATATCCTCCCAAATCTAAGAGTAATTGACATACAACAATAACTTCTCAACCAAAATTTCAATTGAATTAAACCAACTGCATAACACACTCTATAGCCCGTCCTTAGTAGACAATTCAAACTGTTTTACCTTCATCGCTTCTGCCTTGAGCAGGCCTTGTTTATCCAAAGCCTGGAAACTTTCCATTGTATTTGTATTGTAAAGAATACCCGGAACGGAGCACCTATTCCGATTACTCCTAATAATAGGCGGCGCTGCTGATTCATCATTTGAATCAGAAGGCAGGGATTCAGCAAGAAGGGTTAAATGATTGGATACTTGAGGGTGGGAGCACGGTGCATAGAAACCTGAAGGGAAAAAAGATAACGAATTTGGACCATAAAACGCCAAATCTACACTCAAGGGTTCCAAATTGAAAACCTTTTGCATTAATTGCGACCTCTAACAACAGAAACTTGGATTAACCCAGTTCAATCAGTAATTAATTGTAATGAATTCAAGAAGACAAAAAAGAAAATTTAGCCAAATGAATCAGATTTTTTAGAGAATTAAGAGTGAGAAGTTTATTTCTTACTTAAAGAACGAAAATGGGTAGGGATTTTTTTTGGGGGGGGGGGGAGTAGTACCGGAGATAAGAATAGGTGAATCGTCGATGCCAAACTTGTTGAGCTTCAGAAAAGATAATCGGTGCCAAAATCCTTCGTCGACAGAACTCTGAAGTGGCGTGAATTGAAGTATGGATTCACTCCCTTCTTTTGCCATGCTTTCACTTTTTCTTTTCCGATTCCAATTTTTGCCTGCGATTTCCGTTTGCAATCTCTATCTCAGCTTGTTCTTCCCAAGAGTTTTCCTTCTTATACCTCCTTTCTTCGTCTTCTTTTTTCTTGATTTATTCTTCTTTACGGAACTGAAAGAGTACCGTTGAGAAATTGATCATGTTGTAATCGTGTAAAATTGCACGCAATGTAATTGCATACTTTTAAATATATTTTTAAATTTTAACAGAAATAAAAAATATTAATATAATTGTGTAAATGAATATATTCATTACTGTTATTATTATTATTTCATAACTTATACCAGGGTCATAATTACTGTTACTTATCATGATTTTCATTAATGCATGAAACTGAACTAATCATTATACATATTGAGTATATACATAAACATGTTAAAATGCTTACATTACTAATTTCAAAATAGTTCACCATTAGTAAAAATATATTATGTTAAGTTTAAATTTTAATAAAATAGACACTCAACATAGATTTAGACTTAAAAACTATATACCAGCACTCCTTCACATGTTAAGGATTTTTCCCTTAATAAAACAAATATTTCTTATAATGATATATTAGTTTATGTTAGGAGGTAAATTTTTATAATTTATATTAAAATTTTATGGGTGTAAAATTATAACATAAAATTTTAGAGTCATGAAATTATAACATTAATATAAAATACAAATAAAACATCTATGGAAATTTAGAATTTTCAAGAGATGTGATTGTTCTAATACATATGCGATCTATACGTAAAAACATGGCATAAAAAAATTAAAATATGAACTAATTTTTTTATAATTACGTGCGTCTATACAGTTAACCTGTGATATTTAAGCACAAACTAGAGAGAGAGAAGATCCACTTATATTGTGTAAAACTCACCTTTCACTACAACAAAACGGGTTTTTATGCGCCGTTAAAAACCCTTTTGGCGCAAAAAGAAACGCCGCAAAAAGCACAGTTAAAACAAACACCGTAAAAGTTTGCGACATTTGTGAACGTCAAACGCTGCTATTTATCTTTTCTTTAGTGACGTTTGTTCCCAAAAACGTCGCTAAATGTTGTGACATGTATTTGTACTTGTGAATATAAAATGCCGTTATTGACTAGTATATAGTGACGTTTTCTATATAAAAACCATAAAAGATCTTGAACTTTAGTCTCGTTTTGTTTTACAAATACCGGTATTGATTATGTATTTAGTGGCGTTTTATTATATAAACGCTGTTAATTAAAAATGATTTTTCAAATGTCGTTTTCTGCTCTTTTATTACCCAAATTTAAAATTTTAACATGTAGCATTATTCAATAAACTTGAAATCCATAATAATAAATCAAAGTTTACATTAAAGTGAAATATAATTTAGTTCACCATTGTTAACTAGAATATATATTACACCTAAGATGGTGGACTTTGGGGTTGATTTTGTCATATCATCTGAATCATAGCTTGAAGTTAATTTTGTAAGTATTCATATTTTTTCTGATATGATGCTTCTCTCTTTGTTTTCCTCGCGTCAATTTCGGCTTTCATTTAAGTAAATTTTTCATCTATTTGAGTCAATTGTTGTTTTAAACGACTAACTTCTGATTGGGAAGACTGACTGTGTGATGACATGTACTGAGAACTTGATCTAAAATATTTGGTTGGGGTAACAAATGATCCTTGAAAGCGAACCCAACCATATCTTTCGGGACCCAAAACTTCATTAATAACTTAATTTTCGATCTCATCTGCATTAACAATATAATGACTTGAAGTCGTAGCTTCATTCTCCGCCCTTTTATCCCTCAATTTTTTCTAATAATCAATCCAATCATTATTTTAAATAAAAATAGCATACTATAGATATAAATATAACATAATTCAAATCTTGTGTCCAATAAATGTACTATAATTTCTCCAGCTTCATCAATTATAGGAGTGCCATTATATTTTGTATGTGTCATGTCGAAGAGCTTTATTCGTCCACCTTTAGTACCAAACTTATTTTCCTACAATGTAGAATAAAAAATAAGGGGTTGTTATTTACTTCAGAATGATTAAGCGTTGAATGATTCAAATATTGAATGATTCAGAGGCTCTGTATGAATTAGCTCTGAATGTGACATGCTGATTGATAATGGCTTTGAATCATTCAGAATGTACTTCTGTGTTGAATCATTCAACACTGTTTTGCTAAATCAGTCAGCACTAAATCATTAAGAGGTGAGAAACAAACGCGCTGAATGGTTCCATTCAAAGCCAAACAAACACCCCCTAAGTCTTACAAAAATTAATTAATAATATAAATAATTTTCGTTACTATATGCTACCAATTGTAAATCACTATGTGAATAAAAAAATTGGGATTGTTGGATTGAGAAAAATCAAAGGCTGAGATTAACTCTAGTTTTTTTTTCACTAAATATGTTCTCATTTTCTACTATTAATCTCAGTCTTTAATTTCTCTAATTTAATGGTTCTAAAAAGTTATAAAACTAAAAAAGTTTTATTCAGCATAATTGGATCATGTCTTATATATATATATATATATATATATATATATATATATATGTATGTATATGTATGTGTGTGTGGGTACGAAGCATTGATATAATATATTAAACTGAAAATTTCCATTACAACACTGGTTAACAAAAAAAAATACTAATGATTCTTCAATTGACTCCGAATTCCAATTCAGTTAAACTTTATATAGAATTTTAGTTTATTCAAGAGCTTTCAAAAATTAATATTATAAGGGTTTACATACATAGAATAATACGATTTATTACAAACCATCAGAAATGTTCTAGTCTTTAGGATCAAATTACACGTTTCATTAAAGTTTTAGTATTGATTTCAAACCAACATTTGCACATATCATACAAACATATGTAGCAGAAATAACAGTTTCGCACACCCGTTAACACAAAACGAAAGAAGGCTAATCCTTTTTGGAACATGAAGAATAGCTTTAGGAATCAGTGTAAGAGATCCTTCGCCTCTTGTTCGGGAATGCCAACAATGGGGCGAATTCCAGTGAAGTAGAAGCCTTCTCCAGGACAGAATCCAGGGCCTGCCGAATTGAACATGCGATAAAACTCCATGCATCGGCATTATCACCGTCGTCATCAACGACATGTTTAACACTGCTACTACGTGTGCAGCCGGCTGTGAAAACAAAATCATTCTTCAACCGACCTCCCAACGTCGATATTTCTGATTTGACAATCTTAATTTGAAAGGGAAGTGCGTCGAGTGCTTGCCGTAGGTCAGTCATAATTTGAGGTCTATAATCACAACAGATCGATGCTTTGAAACAAACCACCCCATCGGCGGCGTCGATATTACATGGTTCAACGCTCACCTCGTCGTCGTCCATCGGAACAACTAACCCTTTGCTGGCTTCAGTCGCATTATTCCTCAGTTCTTTCAATTGCTTAATCACTTCACCAAGTAATGTCGCTTTATCCATCTACAATTCAGCAATCGGAACATTGCTGTCAGCTAAAAAAATATATACTTGGTTTGATTCAGAAAGTTACTTCGATGTACACTTTAATTACTTCAGTTAATTACTGAAATAAATATGAGAAATAAGAAGAGCCAAAAATACACATGCAATATAGATGTCGAATTCTTGCTGACATTCAAAATATAATATAATCTGCTACTTATGTCACATACAGTAATTATATATTATAACAAATAAATAAGCAGCAGCGGATATATTGAGGAACAGCTGTTGCATTGTCCCACCTATATCCGATTATTATCATCGTCATCACTTTTGAATCTATAGATACCGTCCAACCGACAAACTCTAAGATTTGACAGCAAAAATAATATTGTATAAAGCTATGTCAACAGATTATCTAATGAGTATATTAATTGTAAATTAACACGAATATATCAGCCAAGTTATTGAGATTGAAAATTAAACAAGGAGACAAGGGTTTTATCGGTGATAATTAATCACTCTCTCTTATCTACATTGCAACTTTGTTGTGATCAATTTTATATGGTAATGCAGATAACACCCGGAAACAAGCTTTCATGATTGATTTTGTTTGAAATTAAATACAATTCTTAAGAAAATATAGCAGAAGCTTTGAAATTGGAACCAGAAAGATACTCTAGGATTACATAAATGAGCGTTACATGATTTGCAATAAGAGATTTCACATTTTAACATTAAGTACTCGGTTTCATGACTTCACAACTTCATTTTGTTTTCCTATAAATGCAAAAATGGCATTCAAGCTGGCCAATATTATAACAACTCTGTAATTAATGGCATAATGCATAAAGTTAATGTTATCATAAGCAACCTCTCTAGGTTCACAAAATGTTTCAGTTCCAGGAAACTTGGTAATCAAAACAAGATACAGTCTGCAAGCTAACAGCTAACTCAGATCCCTCTGATCCCAACAAAATTTTCGTGAACTGAATTATATTTTATCGTATGTCGATGACAAACCAAAATTTAACATCAAATTGTACTGAGAGTTGTCAAATCAATTATAGTATACCTTTTGTCTGCAGGGCAAGAGGGTGCGGAGTGTATCGAGATGAGCATTGATTCTCTCTCTCCTCCTCCTCTCTGCCTCGCTGTGACTCTTCAAAGCCGCTATAATCTTCTCTTCCGGAACCTTTTTCTTCCCTACTTTCAACGGCGCCTTCACCAGCTCTCCTTTCTCACTATCCAAAACCAAGGACTGTGACACCGACACTGACAAAGACCCGCCAAGGGAGCTTCCATTGTATGGTCCCAAATCATGCGAAAATGGATCAAAGATACTATAGTAACAATTCCCAGATGAAAAGTTGTTGAAAGAGTAAACAGCCATACAAAAGCACGAAACGAAAAAAAAAACTTATTTTTGTTGCCTAGATTTTACGAGCCAGAAGTGAAAGAGAGAAGACCAGGTGGACGTGTGGTGGGAGCGAACCAGAAGGAGAGCTTTTGCAGAGAGAAGTTCTGTTGGTTAACGACTTTCTTGCAGTTGGTGTTGATCAGTGCTGTGGCTGTTATGATGATAGCTTCCATTACGCAAGTTCTAGGGAGATAATTAAGCTGATGAAATGACTAACAAGAAAACATCCACATTTTCTTCTTGATCATGCATTTCCTCGGGGTTCGATTCGTTTTGAGACGTTGAAAAACAAAGCTGTCAGTGAATATTCGAAAGGGAGCAGACAAACAAGTCAAAGGAATCCATGTAGCAGGGAAGTGGGATTCAATAACAGATGAAGAGAGAAACTCTTATTTGTTAAGAAAGCAGAAAACAGAATGAGATTTCTTCAACATCTAATTGGGGTTATATAAATAGGATACGAGGAGACAAAACAACTATATTTACCCAAATTCACTTTTCACACTATAAAAAAAAGTATTTTTTTCATATAAATTCATCAACATACTCTCATTTATTTATTTTTTATAATTAATTGCACTTTTCCATCTCTATTTAAAATGATCATTTTAAATTTTCATAATAGATTTTTTATATCGATCAAGAGCCGACCATAAAAAGGTTAGGGGACATTGGCCCCAAGAATTTAAAAAAAATTCTAATAAGTTCTTCAAAATCCTAAAATTTTTAGTTTAGAATTTAATATATTTATTTCCACCAATCAAAATAGTGACATATGTCACCCTCTAGTTAAAAGAAATTTGGGGAAAAAAATCAAAACCCGGCCACTTAGGAAACAAACATGTATTCAACCATTATGCCAAAACCATTGATTGGCCTAAAGTAAATAACATGATTTATATATTTTGTATCTTATTGTATAAATACTTAAATTTATAATATTTTATATATATTAACTTACAAAATATTTTTATATTAAGTTATTAAATATATTTTATTATTAACTTAATTTTAAAATATTTTTTTTTTATTTAAAATATATATTTTATGTTAAAATGTATTTAAAAGTATGACTAAATTGAGAGAATATGTAAATAACATATATCAAATCTATTATTATACCAATTATCACATCACATATTTTATTAAACGTTAGTAGCATTTAATCCGTGATTACCACATTTTAATTAAATAAAAACTAAAATGACCATATATTAATTAAATGAAAATGAAAGTGATCATATCTTATGTTTTTGAAATCAGCGACCAAAAGTAGACAAAACACAAACATAAGTGATCATTCGTGTAGTTAACCCTAATTTTATTAATGGGACAAGATTCAATTATATTTAGGGTAAAAAATTTAATTACACTTTTTACGATAGTTGGACGAGGAAAATCAAAGGTTAAAATTCACAATAAGAAATGTGAAAATATTCATTGAAAAAAAAATAAGGAATTAATCTCATTATTTAATTTTTCTCATATGAAACTAAAAATTTTACCCTAAGTGTAAGCGAATCCTAACCCTTATTATTTATTAATGAATCAAATGATAAAATATTATTTAAAAAGATAAATTTAAATATATTTTTATTTATGTGTAACAATTTTATTTATGGACGGGTATATATGTACTCCTTTCAAAGCGGTTGTTTTTCTTGGCAAATTACGCATTTAGTAACTAAATTATCGGTTTTGATCCATTTTAGTATTTAAAGTTTTATTTTTTTTAAATCATTCTTAACGTTTATTTTTTGTTTTATTTTAGATATTAAACACCTAATTTATCTTTTTCTTTTTTACAATTAGAGTTTGTGTTAGTATTTATCATTTTTCAAAGCAACTGCTGCTTTTTTTCTTGACAAGTTTCTTACATCATGCAAAAGAACAAATCAATGAAACGTTCTATCAACAAATAAAAAAAAGGGAAATAAAGGTCAACTACAAACAATGAGCATATTTGTTATGAACAAAATAGATAAATCCAAATTATATCATATTATATACACCCGTAGTGGTTGATAGAAAGCAACTGGGATCGATGTAGAAAATTATCAAAGACGAAAATCAGAACCCCACTACTCCACTTACCTCTTAAAATAAGTCAAAGTAGTGCAAAACTGGCCTCTGGGGTAGTTTCTCCTGTTCGTGGTTAAATTTTGCTAAAGGGGGCCTTTTCTTGTCTTCTGGATTAACCCTTCGTGTTCCTTCTTCTTGAAACAGCCATTCGGAGCATCCAAAAGACACCTCCATCACCATGATTTTCGTCTTGATCCGTTTGTGCAGAATCGTTCAGCATTTACGACTTCTAATAACATACTGTTTCTTCTTAAGAACAAATTAAATAAATTATACTTGATTAATATGTGTATTTGTAAAAGAACTGGAGGGATTATTATGCACGTGCATGCTGAATTAGAATATTTAAAATTTCCAACCCTAAACAATAGTGTTATGACTATTGTTATCAACAACTTATATAATTCAAAAGTTAGGCAGCATTATCAAGTTTAAAATTTTTTAAGGTGGACATTAGGGACCGTTTTAAGCTGCAGACGAACCAAAAAAAAAGGGAATTCGACACTCGCTCAAGACAGCCCGCCATGCCCATCCCACGTCCTAACCAAAGCCGCCGCCGCCAGCGGATCCTTCTTTGACTTCCCCACGATCTCTTCTTCGCCGTCCATATCTTCACTGACCAAACTCAACAGCTCAGATCAAGCCACGTCCACATAGAAGTGTTTCGTGGCGATAGTGATATATCTTGTTTAAATACAAGGAATTTGAGCTCTTGGACAGGCAACAAGGAATTTGATACATCTTTCTTAAACTATTGTATCCATGTTAACTCTAATTCTAATCATAATTGTTAAAAATTATCTTAATTAACTTATTATGCAAGGTATAAGAAAAAGTTAAAATGTTTATTAAAAATAGTGGGACTCACATCTAATTTTAATATAATATATGCTGACATGTGATCAAATAAACTTATCACTTATCACAAAGATAGACATGCCACATATATATATTTCATAATTTACTAGGAATTCTTTTATATAGAGAGAGAGGGGTTAGGATCCATTTATACATAATGTAAAATCAAAAGATGAGATTAATTTCTTATTATTTTCAATGAATATCTTCTCATTTTTCTACTATTAATTTCAACCTTTAATTTTCCCTCCTCCAATGATCTTAAAATGGTGTAAAAAAATTTAATTTTACACTGTAATTGGATCATAGCCACACACACATATATATTGGTAGGTTTCACAGTTCCATCTACCCTATGTAAAACAAATAAGTTTTACACTAATCTTATAGCCATTAGATTTAAATAAATAAATGACTTATATTTGATTAAAATTTATAACCAATAAATAAATATTTCTTTAACTAACACCCCAGACATTTATGGTGCTTGAACTCGAGATCTCAAGGAATAACAATAATTCTTTTACCATTAAAGTCGCTCAATTCGACTTGAAAATTCATATTTGAATATTAATGAAACAATTGTTGAAAAGAAAAATAATTTTTTTAAATATAAACCATAAAACAAAGTTAAAAATAATATTTTCATTATTAAAACATAATTTTATCGTAAGTTATCATATTAATAATTTAAATATATGATATATAAAAACTTGTTTTGGTAAGTTGAAGGTGCATCGCCTATGGGGCAATGAATTGGACAAGGCATTGAAAAAAAAATCATACACAAGATCCAGTCCAGAGCTTTCTCGAATATTTTTGCTTAAAACAACGGGCCCAGCTTGCTAAGTCCAACTTTGATAAGATAAAGAGGAGGCTTCACTATGAGAATAAATATTCCCCTTGGCACTGGCACTGGCACTGGCACTGGCACTGGCACAATTAATTTATAGAGTGGAAGAGGACAAGAGACTACTCTTTGCTTAGCACGCAAACATGGGAGTTTAAATCAGAGTGATTGTCCCAGGTTGGAGAGTTTATACAATCACAATTAGCCGACCTCGGTACGCTAACTTGCCCCATCGCTGCTTGTTTAGCTATAGTCGAGTTTATCAGGATGAAACAGAGAAGGATAAACGTTACCAAATATTCATGGAAAACGTGAAGTACATCAAATCCCAGAATGCTGATACCAGAAAAAAAGTACAAGTTAGGTGTTAATGAATTCACAGACTTGACCAATGAAGAGTTTAAAGCCATGCGAAATGGTTATAAAATGCGATCTTCCAACAATATTCCAGCTTCCAAAAAATCTTCTTTCAGGTATGAAAATGTTACTGCAATTCCATCTAGCATGGATTGGAGAAAGATAGGAGCTGTGACAGGCATCAAGGACCAAGGCCAATGTGGTATGCATATGAATTTGTAAAGAAATTGAAATAATTATGATTCCACAATGCTAATTTTTCTTTCGGTTCGGATCATATAGGATGTTGCTGGGCGTTCTCAGCTGTGGCAGCCATGGAAGGGATTACCAAGCTCAAAACCGGTACATTGATCTCACTATCAGAGCAGGAGTTGGTTGATTGTGATGACAATGACGAAGACCAAGGTTGCAACGGTGGTCTCAAGGATGATGCATTTGAATTTATTATTTCAAACAAAGTACTACCGAAACAAAGTACCCCTACGAAGGAGTTGATGGAAGCTGCAACAAGAAAGAATCTGCCAACCATGCAGCCAAGATCACCGGTTACGAAGATATACCATTATACCTTCAAACAGTGAGTCAGCACTATGAAAAGCCGTGGCCAATCAGCCAGTTTCAGTTGCCATTGATGCTGGTGGGGCTGACTTCCAACACTACAAAAGTGGTGTCTTCACCGGAGAATGCACCACCTACCTAGACCACGGGGTTACAGTAGTTGGCTATGGACAAGAGGATGGTGGGACCAAGTATTGGCTGGTGAAGAATTCATGGGGCACCAGCTGGGGTTAGGATGGGTACATCAGAATGGAAAGAGATATTGATCCCAAAGAAGGTCTTTGCGGTATTGCAATGGAAGCCTCTTATCCAACTGCTTGAAGATAAACACACTGTATACTATTGCCGCATATATGGTCCTCTTTCAGTATTTCAGAGGACCACTTAGCCACCCTCAGGGAGGAAATGTTTATGTGCTTATCAGCTTTTCATGAAAAGCTATAAAAAAAACAAAGCAACATACATATTGCTCCGATGTTATTGTTCTGTACTTTCCTTGGATTTTTCTAGTCGTATATATATCACCGGCATTTTAAACGAAAACGGTCACGGTTGCTTTTGTTGGAAGTCAAACTCTTTTGGAATTATGTGGAGCAAATTAAAGATGGAAGGCAACGTGGCAATGTGGAAAACAAATCAAAGTGTCGGCAGCAACAAATTTGGCAGTATCACATGCAAAGTTTTTTCAAAGATAGACGTGGC